AGGAATGGGTGGTTCTCTCTCCCACTGGTACCTTGATGTGTTAGGTATTTCTCAGAACATCACACCTCTGGCATATTTGCTCTTTGCTAAGCTCCAGCACTGCAGCCAGGATTTCCAGAAGTGGTGAGTGAAGAGGTACCATCCATTTTTAATGCCCAATTTTAAAGCAGCTTGATCTTTCAAGAGCCACAAGTCACCCATCCTCAAGGACAAGAATCAGGCCCTTTTAGGCACAACTGAACTCCTAGAAAACAGAGGTACTTCAAAGAAGTCTTGACCATTGAGGTTCTGGGTTGGGAGGTGAGTTTTTTTTGCAAGTTTCTATTATGGCTTCTTAAAAAGACAGCTATGAAGATGATCCCACCAGTCAGTGCACCTGCACCACCATCTTGCCCAAAAAAACCAGACAAATTCTCTCATCTATGCATCCTTTCAAGACATCAGCACCACTCACAGAGTATTCACAACAGGTTAGAAGGAACAGGCACTATGGCTCACTTGTTCCTCAAGGATCTTAACCACCAAGAGAATTTAACCACCCAGCCAAGACACAGGATGAAGTGCCCTTAAAATAGAAACTAAGACTTTGAGCTAATGAACAGGGAGAGCTACACATCAACCTGGGGGAAAAAAAATACAGCAAAGGAGGGAAAAGTTCAGACTGCAACAAAAAATGAATTCACTGAAAAGAAATAATACTGCAGATTGTCACTAGTGCAGCTGGGGTTTGGCAAAGAAAATACTTTGAGCATGTTCTTGCAGGGCAGCCCTTCTGCCACGTGAATAAATACCCAACAGTGTTTAAAAACAGTATATAAAACAAGATGTCAAGATTTTCAGAAATGGTGCACATTGCATCTCTCTAACTGCAGAGCAGGTTCCCTCACGTGAGGTATTTCAGCATTGCCACGAAGGAAAACAATCCTCCTGAGCTCCAGTTCCACAAGCACAGCCCAGCTGAGGCTGCACACTGGCCAGGCAGTGAGGGGAGGTGCAAGAGTCCTGCTCTGCCCCCCCTCTCTGCAGACCAGAGCAGCCAGGCTGGGTGGGGCAGGGAGAAGACAGAGTGGCCAAGGCTCAGGTCAGTCCCCCCTGGGTGACCAGACACAGACCATACAACACCCTGCAGGGGTTTTGTTTCAACATTCACACAGTCTTCCAAAAAGCTGTTTAGTCCACGTGGCCAGGTCATAGTACTAACCCCAAATGAACTTTGGAGCATTTCCTTGGTTATCTGTTGGTATATAGGTTGTCCAGGTAAATAAATGCCTGTTTTCTCCCCAAAGGCAACCTGTGCATGTGGGGCTGTGTTGCCAGCAGAGCTGTATGGGACAGGCACCTCTCCTGTCAGACTGGGCACTGGAAAGGCTGCTGCCCACTCCAGACCTTTTCCCAAGGAATGTTATTTTCTTGTGTTGTACATATGTATTTAACTGTAGTCATTAAATACAGGATGTTGGCCTCACATCCCATCCAGTCTTTTGGGAAGCATCCTTCTTCACTCTTCAAACAGCATCTTAGTGAAACCCAGGATCAGAACTTCTGCTGATGAGCAAGAGTCAGAAGTGAGTGTTGCCAGAATGATGCCATCAGTACCACTGCAGCATTTCACCCTCTCTCCTCCAAGATGTGGGCATGCTCAAAAGAGAGAAAATCCACCAGAAACAGATGGCTTCTACCATCCTCAAGATGTTTCTTCTTTTACATTCCATCTTTGCTGGACAATCAGCAGAGGTTTGTTTGCAGGGTTTGTTTTGGGGGGGGCTATTTTGATAAGAATAATCATACTCCTTTTTTGATACAAATCATGCTCCAGAAGGATAAATTGCTGCTTGTTCTCAGCACCCCTGTTGGCATATGGACTAGTGTTCTGTCACAGCCAGCTCTCATGGAAGCAGTACATAAAGCTGCTTTTCCTTCAAGGGCACAAGCATTGTCCAGTCTGGGACTATACCAGGAACATCTCTTTAAGCTTTTCCATGCCTTCCAAAAACTTCCAAAGGTTTTGCTTTGCTCAGGCTTCCCTTAGAACATCCGAGGATAAGATGGGTTTTGCTTAATTATCCACTCAGCATGGGGATTGGTGTGGTACAAGTCTAAGAGGTAAGTGTCTGGGTCCAGGCAACGTTCACCTATCAAAACAAGAGATGCAGGAAAAAAACACTTATATCCTTAGCCCTGTAGTTCCTAGGGTTTGTTTTTTGTGTGTGTTTTGTTTTGTTTTCCCCTAAAAAACTGATTTTTGTTCACAATATCACAACCATTCAGAAGTGTTTCTGCAAATCTGGAAAAGTTCTAGTTCTGTTAAAGTGCATCTATGTTTCTGAAAACTATGCTGAGCCCAAGCTTTGACCTTTGTGGAAAGGTGCTCTAGCTCTAACACCTAATAACTTTAGCACTTGAAAACCAGCAGGGAATCCATTAGGGATCAAATCCAGGGACTGAACTGTTTCCAGTGACAGAACTTTCCTTCTACAGATGCTACTAAGGCAAATACTGAGGCAGCCAAAGTACTCCAGTAACTGACAGTCTCCAGGAGCAGCTGTAACAGGGCATGAGCTCCCCTCCATTTTCAGACACCCCTAATTTGCTGCTGCAACCATATTAAGTCTCCCCTCCCTTTGATGGCATTACCCTGATGATGTCTAGAAACTGGTGACTAAGGAACATCAGCCACTTGTTCAGCAACACAGTGTGAGAAACTTCCACCCAAGTTAGTAAGAGTTGTCTGGAGGAGGAGTTCTGCTGATGGAGGCAGATGGAATTCATACCTGGAGCTGGCAGTCACTAGTACAGGTGCTGTATGTGCCAGCCCACCACAATTAAAGCTCAATTAGGAAGCACAATTAAAAGTCTAGTGGCACAGGATGAAGTTTGCCCTTTGCTTAGGTGATTGTAGTTTATGGTTTTAGAGTCTACACTTAATTCCAAATCCTTAATCCCAATCTGAACCTTTATCTTGAAAGAAGAGGGAGTTTAACACTGTGTTTAACAGAATGGGAGGTTGGTTGGTTTTTAAGATGAGCAAAGTTTTGTATGTCTCTGTTCAAGACTTGTAGACTCTTAGGATTCCACCTTTCTTGCCAGGCAGCTTCTGAATAAGATCCACCAGTGTTTTTGGAAGCTGAGGCTTCAACCTTCCCACATACTTGCATGATAAAGAGTCAGAGTCAGAGAATCATAGAATAGTTTAGGTTGGAAAAGACCTTTAAGAGCATTGAGTCCAACCATTGACCCAAGTCCACCAGTGCCAGGCTCTGCAGGGATGGCTGGAAGACACATGAACCATCAACCCAAGAGCTTTGAAGGGTGCTGCTTGTGAGGTTAACCCACACTTGTTCATTTGTCTTCCAGCTTTTGGAGCCTCCAACAAATCTCATCCTTTTTAAAATCCCCTCCCAAGACAAATTAACATAAGAACTGGATATCAGAGTCCTTACTTCCAGTTACCACCCAGACTTACCAATATTGCCTCCCACTTCAAACAGGAGCAAGTTTGTGCAGTCCATTGAGTTGTTGCTGCAGAAAGAGAAACACATTGCAGTTAATAAAGCTCTGCAGAAGGCAGGTTAGGTAGTTTAGTAATGTTTCTTCCAAAAAAAAGTATTGTTGATGGTTCAGAAGCCAGCAATGGCCATGGAAAATCCAGGCTATGGTGCAGAGACCTTACTGATCCTCCTCAACAGTGCAGCTGTTGAAAAGGTCACCCAGCACTGAGAAAAAGAGAAGAAGGCAGATGTTCCTCACTGTTAGCAGGTAGCACACTATGTGCAAACACAAACTTTTCACTAGGAAGACAACAGGTAAAAATACCCAAGTTCACTGGCATCATTCCTGGAGAACTGATGGCCAACTCAAGAGAAGCTCATCTGCAGGGAGGCTTGGGAGCTGTAGCAGCTTGTTAGTAAGATACAAGTCCCAGCTGACCCATATTCAGCCAGCTTTCCACCCATCCTCCTCATCTAGGCATCTCCTGCCCAGGCACACAGTGAGGAGATGCACTATCTGCTAAACACAGTCTGCAGGCATGGTGACAGAGTGGGACAGGAACCCCTCTGGTCATTTTGGGATTATTTCAGCAGTTCTCCACTGGAGCACAGGAGGGAGGTGCAGAGTTTATTTTAGGAAGCTCCTACATGAACATATGGAAATGCTACTCCAAGCAAATCATTTATACAGGTGATGTTTTTCTCCAGGAGAGCTAAAAAAAAGGGTTTAATTTTGCAGAGTCAATGTTATGCCACTTTCCCTTCCACTCAGCAAGGCTGCTGAAGTTCACTTGCTGTCCAAGAGCCCAGAAGGGACTGCTGACCTCCAACCAGCCCATGCACAGTGCTGGAATTACCCAGCTGAACCAATGTCTGCTTGTCCATCCAACACTGTTTCCAAAACTTAGAACAGAGGAGCAGAAAAGTCTCCTAAGGGCTCACTGTACCACATCAGCTCTGCCAGAAGACAGAAAACAGCAACTAGACCTCCTGGCACTTTTGTTTTCCTTTGAAATCCAAACCAACCATAGAAGAAAAAGTAATTTACCACTTGAGGAGGTTGACAGTGTTCACAATATTCCAGCCATTCTGGCACAGGCTCTTTTGAAACTGCCTCAAGACATCAGCAACTCTGGTTGCACTGTTCAGATGCACCTCTAGTGAATCCTTCAGGAGAAGTGAACCCTGGACTTTCACAATCTTGGAAGGCTGAATAGGGCAAGAAGAAGAAAGTGCTTAAAGACAGACTTAGTTATCAGCTAAAACATCAAGTTACAAACTAGATTGTAGAGTGAAGAATTAAACCCATCCCTCCAGCTCTTCAGGGGCTTTAGGTTTGGTCCTTATCCCACACACACTCCAGGCTGGAAGGCTGAAGGAGCATCAAGGTGAGCATTATAAACAAGCCTTCAGTGCTTGTGTTGAGAACAGCACTGCTCTCCATCAGTGTGTGCTGGTGCTCTCTGCTGTTCAAACACAGCACTGGCACCAGAAGTGACACAAGCTGGGAGGAAAATGGGATTTGTCAGGAGAAATTCTGACAAACTGTTTTGCACGAGTCTGAGAGACTCCTCTGGAATTCCTTTCCATCACTGGAAAAGGAGTTTAGACAGTTCAATTGCAGACTCCTGAATTTGAAAGGTAGTTGAAATTAAAAAAAAAGGAAGCAGTGAACCACTACACAGCAGAGATCAAGTGGTATCTTCTCAAGGCTGTTTCCATCAGCTCCTTTATGAAGTAACACCTCAGAGCTTTTGTGGAGCACACTGCACTGTTCTAGCAGGGTCTGATCTTCAGCAAGTTAAACTCTGCAATCCCAAATCTTCTGCAAATACAGTGGTGAATGCTGAGACCATGGGCAGGTACTGTCAGCACTGCTCTAAGCACCAGGGCACCTGCTGGACTGCCTGAGCAGTCGCTGTCCTCTCTGAATGACAACACCTCCAACAGTGCCTTGGCCAGATGAATTTGACAGACATCATTTCAGGAGCCCAACTGGTAGAGGAAGGGAGATGTACTGACTTGGGAGCACACAAACTCTTCTCCAGCTCTGCAGGTTCAAGCTCTCCACATAGTAATTCCACCTGCAGACTCCACCTAGCTCATGTCCTTAGAGCATCCCTGTTGCACCAACACTGCTAGGCAATCCTTAAAATCCAGCACTGTGTGATGCCACCTAGCTCCTACAGACCTGCAGTTGCTCAGCTAGCAGTGGCAGCCAAAAAAAAACCAGGCAGAATGATTCCAAAGATCTTTCCCCAACTTTGGTACTGAAATAGATCTGATAGTAACATCTGTTTAAAAATCTTCACTCCTTTTAGGTGGCAAGAACCTCGTCCTCAAACCCATCCACACAGATCAGCAGCATTATAGAGCAGAAAGAAAATCAGACACAAACTATACTTTTATACAGCTGTAGTAGCCTAAATTTTGGTGTGGTGTTAAGTTAATGAAAATAAATCTGCCTTTATCACAGCAAACAAACCTCTCTAAACATATAAGACACCTAGAGCCATATGAATTCTGCTCTTCACCTGAGCTACAGACCACCCTTTCTGCTCCTGGTCTCTTCCCCCCTCACCTACAACCATACAGTATCTTAACCCAGGGTTTTGCAGCCTGAAATTTATTTAGTACTCTGTTGTTGAGGTCAGTTTTTGCCAGAACCTGGCCAAAAGGCTCTTGGAAACTGCTTCTCATCGTTCTGCACATTTTCCTTCTCCTTGCTCTTTAAAAAAAAAAAAGCATCACTCCATAGCTGTTTTCCAAGTTTCCATGAAAGCCTTTGAGCCTGTTATGAAAGGGCTCTGTCTGCCCAGGCCCCAGCTCACCTCTGCCTGGTTCTTTTCCACCTTGTCTTTATCAGCGTGGATCTTCCGCAACAGATTTTTGAGCCTCTTATCACAGAACTGGTACCTTTTGCTGTTGCTTTCGTTCAGCTTTCTCACTTGAGCTACCAGAAAAGAGGAGACCTGAGGGGGTGGAAAAAGGAGAAAATTGGAATTAAAACAAATCAGAGATGAAGATGTCATTTAGGAGCCTAAACATCACTTTATGAAGCTCCTTAAATACACAGAACATCTATATACCTTGAAAACAGGAATTCAGCCACAGGTTTGGCCTCCAGACATATAACTCCTCTGAAATTTCTAAGACTATCTGTTGCTCAATTCCAAATCTAACCAGACCAAACATCCTGCCACAAAACACCTGCAGAACTTACAGTCCAGAGCAAATCCTGGTAGTGGATCATCATCCGCACGACGTCAGCCGCCCCCTCGGCCAGCTGCTTCTCCTTCCCTTCAGGGATCTTGTTTGGGAGCCCCTTGTGCATGAAGAGGTTTGGGGCCATGACTGTGGAAACGTTCCAGAGGTTCATTTTGTTGTTGTTCTCCTTGGCAACCACTTTGCTAAGAAACTCAAGTATAGCCTAAAGAGAGAGGAAGAGGCTTAAGACATCCCTCAGGAATAATGCTCAAGAAGCTACAGTGACAATTGCTGGGGAGATCACTCTGGTAGCATTTCCTCCTTGATGTTTATAAGCAATCCTACTCCTCCAGTCAGGAAGTTCAGTGACCAATTTCTAATACTAGGCTAGCAACAACTAACTGTACCCAGCAGAGAGGTGGTTTGTCCAGCATTCATGAGTCTGTGTGGGAAGCAGGTGAGCTCTGACCCCTTGGCAGGTGGCAATTTACAAAGTTCAGTCATAAAAATTAAAGAATTCAAAGACAACCCCCTCTCCCTTCCCCCAGTACCCATTCAAAGCTATTCCCAGATGTAGAAAAAATACAGACTCATTTAGGTTGGAAAAGACCTTGAAGATCATTGAGTCCAACTGTTAACTTGGATCATCTCTTCTGCCTCATGCTCTACCAAAGCCATGACATGGAACAGGTCATCTTTGACTGGATTACTTGTTCCAGCACTCTGAGCAGAGTTTGCAGGGTGCTAAGTCAGCCTTGCCTGTATGACCTAGAAGGTGAACTACTTGAGAGGAAAACCAAAAAGCATAATGCACAACAAAGGAGAGGTTGTGCACTGTCTGCCAAGCTGATCCCATCAGCATTTATTCTTCAAAAAGCAGGAGGTGAAAGGATTTGAAATGCCTTCTGATCAGAAGGGGGTAGGAAGTTATAAGCTTAGGAGTTTTTATAGCATTTAAAATTGAAACTCTCTTTTCTAGATGATGACAATACCACAAACCATGAATCAAAAGAGTGAATTTCTTCCCCTCTACCTTAGCACACCCACAGACACTGTCAGACCTACACATCTCTCACTGCCCAGTGAAGTGCTTTAACACACTGAGGAGGAAGAGCATGTTTCTCAACAGGATGCTCTGAGACCAGAAGGATTCCTACTGCTCTGAAGTTAGTACCCAAAAGGCAGGCTGTGCTGCAGCTTCTGTTCACTGCACAGGCTGGAGGTTTGCCTGCTCCCCCATCAGGGGTTTCCATTCTCAAGCCACTGAAATAAAAGCTAACAGCATAATGTGTGTTATTTTCAGAAGTTGCTAGGGTTTCCCTGAATAAAAACCCAGGAGGAGATCACATTTTCCCAGTCAAATCATAAACAGGCAGTTACCTTCAGAGTGTTTCTGTTTGGCTCTGGAAGAATCAGGATGAGGAGGTTTAGAGCTTGCAATCTTTGCTTCAGGTCTGGAATATCTAGAGGAAAGCAGCAACACAACAGAGGATTCAGGCTTCTGACACTCTTCTTTTTGAGCATAGGAATCCCTTAGGGAATAAGGTGATTACTTACTATAACATTTGTCATCTAGGATTTGAGACCTTGTTTTACAGAATTAAATCAAGCTCATATTGCCCTTATGAACTACCAATGTTTTAGAAAACTGATTGTTTTGCTTTGGAGAACACAGTCTACCAGCAAGTCTGATGCCCTTGAAGGGCATCAATAAACCTCAATATCTCCCAACACATCTCAGAGCCCAAGATCAGCAGAGTTTTGCAAGAAAAGCACAAACCAGCAAACTGATGGTGAAGAGCCAAAGGAGGGACTCACTTTGTACAGCAGCAAAAGCAGGGAGGTACTCTGCTGTCAGCAGTGGGGCTGGCAGCTCTCTTATGAACCTTTTCAGGAGCCCAGATACATCGTTCTGGTGGACTTCATCCCAGCAGAAGAGGCCAGTATAGAAATCCCTTTCCAGCTTCTGCTCCAGACTCTGGTAAAAAGATGGAATTTATGACATGCTTTGATAAGCAAAAAGGAAATTCTATAGCTGAACACTAGGAGGGCAACCAATCAAGTCAAAAGAGTGCAGAGACCCTGACAGCAGACAATCCCAGATTCCCCAGCAACAGACCTTTCTAGCTGTATTTGGAAGGGAGACACAACAGTTCAGACTATTTAGATACTTGCTTCAGCAACATGCTCCCCCTGATCACCTCTGACATTTTCCAACACTACTGAAGAGCTCGTACCTTGATTCTGGTCTGGGACCCAGAGACTCTCAAAATGCCCTCTGTTTCCAGTCCTCTCTTTTCCAAGCAAGACAGCAACTATTAAAGGGGGAAAAGGAAGCTCTTAGGCACAGAAGATGAGAAGTCAGCCCTTTGCTATCACAGGCTTCCTCACCCTGAGGACCAGAAGGGTGAATGAAATCACAAGAGAACTTACTGCCTGGAGTAACAGAGGGACCTTGGTGTTGGGGAGCAGTTTTTGGTCATTTTCCAACAGGGTGTTAAGTGGAACTCCAAAGAGTCTTTTCTCTACAAAAGAAATGTGTAACATGTTGTAAGTCCTGTATCACCTCTACTACAGGCATAAGGGAGATATCTCCCAGAGCAGGTGATGATGGCACACTTTGTATGAGTAGGTACTGGAGAAAAAGAGAGGAATATTTAAACAGGACAAGTGTATTTGATAGTCAGGCATAAATGTGGTGCTAAGGTCTTCATGTCATGATCCAGGAGAAATTCTGATCAAGGAAAACACTTGTCACAAGATTCAAAGATCCTCTCTGTTCTAACATTTGAAACACAAACCTATGAGGAGATCAGTGTAAAAACAAACAAAAAAAAGGCACAGAAAAGAATTAAGATGACACACAGACACACAACTAACCTGTTGTTTTCAGTTTTGCTGTTTTGTTTCTCTTCAGCTCAAAGCCCAGAATATCACAGAGAGCTGTTAGTTCAATAAGGGCTAATGTGGGGATCTTCTTCATGTCCTGAGCAGACAGGTCTCCAATCCTGGTCACTCCTAGTCTGCCCTTGAGGATCTTAAATTTCTAAGGGAAGACACATAAACACAAAAAATTTCATACAAATTATCACCACTAATCCCATTAGTGATCAAGTTTTACTGCACTGTTATCATTCCTCACCATAACCAGGCATCTGTTAAGTCTCCTGTTTTCAACACCAGACAAGTGTCCAAACCTAATCCTACGTTTACTCCACCCACAGCTGAATAAATCTTTTCCCTTTTCTGTATTGCTCTTTAATCACTCTGGAGTTCTCAATTTATCTAAATTAAAGACAGCCTGATACTCACCCTAATCTACTTGAACTTTGGAAGCAGTTCAGTATATTTGTGAAGAAGAAAACTTAGTACTATGAATAAGAAAGTCCAGTTAGGCTCCTCTTTTCAGTGGAAAAGACCAGGTCCATATCAAAATAGCTAGTTTCACTTCTTTGGTCCCTCCACTAAACAATGTTCTCTTTGCCCAACCCTGCAAGGCTGGCAGCACTCCCTGTCCAGAAATACCTCATGTAGGCTCACTGCAACATTATCCAGAGAGGACACTTCCAAGAGCTGATCATACAAGTGAATCCACACACTCAACACCTCTCAACACAGAGAGGCTCAGGACAAAATAGCTAGTTTCACTTCTTTGGTCCCTCCACTAAACAATGTTCTCTTTGCCCAACCCTGCAAGGCTGGCAGCACTCCCTGTCCAGAAATACCTCATGTAGGCTCACTGCAACATTATCCAGAGAGGACACTTCCAAGAGCTGATCATACAAGTGAATCCACACACTCAACACCTCTCAACACAGAGAGGCTCAGGAGGGAAAAACTCCTTCAGAGCTTACAGTGAGGGCATTTCCATCCTTCAGCCTCCTAGGTTCAGGCAGGAGTGTCAGGACAGCTGCTTGCTCTGAGTAGGCAATGTCCATGTTGAACACCTCTTCTTTTCCAGGGCTTCGGACTGTGCAGGAGTAATCCTGGGTTTCTGCTACAGAGGAGAAACTGCCTTGAATTCCCAAAAGCCAGAAGTGTGAAGCATAGGAACCAAGTGTGCTAAAAATGCTGTTTGGGACAGATTTGGCACCACTTTTTAATTAAAAAGATTCCTGAGACTCATCAACAGGGCAAGACTAATTTAAAGCCATAACACTACAGCTATGAGCACCAGGTCACTGGCAGAGAGGTAAGCATGGCCTGAAATGGAAGGACATAGCTATGGCTAACTTCTCCTTCCACTACTGCATAGGTCATCCATAGGATTTCACCACAGGATCTTTGCTAGAATCATTTTATTTGCATCTTCTAATTGCTTTCTTGAATAGTTACCAGGACCAACCTGAGTGATCCTTCCTAACACAGCCTGGAAAAGCTCACTAAATCCACAACTCTGGAGAAGGATGTATTTAAAACAACCCCACACCAACAAGGAAAATGTTTCAGAGCCCAGATTAGTGTCCAGTTCCAGCCCTACTTGAGGTCCCACTCCTCATTCAGCCCCACTCTCCACTGAAAAATTCCCTTCTTACATTTCTGTCCATTTGAAGTTCGTAGATTGTGCCACAACTGATCTGGGCTGGATTTCTCTTTCTCTGCTGTTGTCTCCTGAAAAATAAACCAGAACATGTCTACATATACAAACCAGAAGTTATTATAAGACAACCCAATTTTGGCAGAAGAAAAGTCCCACACTTGACATTGTCTCCTGCTTTCAGGAAATGCTGCTCAAGCTCAGAGCTGCAAGACTGCTCTGAAATTAAGAATCATAATTAGAGGATTTGGCAGGTGAGTGGAAAAAAAGGATGACTGTCTCACAGACAGCAGTTAGGATAAATTTGCCCATCATTGAGACAATTCTTCCATTCACACAAATTAGCCAACTTCCCCTTTATGGTTCATGCACTGAGGGGCTAACAAGGAGTGGACCAGCCAAGCTGCATGGGATATACCCACTGCTGGCCATCACAAGATGCCTTTCACAAGAAAGAACACACTAAGTAGACATCAACACCCAAAAGTTTCCCTTCATGGGCTTCAGAGTAACCTGCTTCTTCATGTTCAGAGGGAGAAGTGAATCTTTATAAAAGGTTAAGCTCAGTATCTTCTGACCAGACACTTGACTGAGCAGATTAAGTCACAAGGAGCCCTGACTGGGATATTTTTTCTAGGGGCTGCTGAAAAGTCAGGATATTGTATCTTCTGGTCACAACCAAAGGAGGAACAGCAGAGCAGGAAAGGAGCTGAAAAGCTAAGAGTTAAGGAACTAAAAAAATAAGGTAGTGACCAGCCTTCCTGCAGGATTACCAGCTGTACAAGGTCAGCTTCTCAGGACTGACTTTAGGAAGCTCTCTCTTTTTTTGGTTAACAATAACCTCACATGTCACTGGAATGAAGACAACACAAGAGGGCCCCAAACGACAGCAGTGCTGGAGGAGGCTGCAGAGCCACAGGCACTCTAGAGAGGTCTTCCAGCAGTCTCTAGGAGGAAGCTGATGGATCTGCAGATACTGTGGCAACTTCTCAAAGCTGCAACCTGGCTGCAGAATTTCTATCTATCAAAACCTGGATGAAGAATTTCTATCTACCATCCAGCAGAACCAGAGAGGTCCTGCTCCCCCTCTGCTCTGCCCTGGTGAGACCTCACCTGGAGCACTGTGTCCAGTTCTGGGCTCCACACTTCAAGAGGGACAGAGATCTACTGGAGAGAGTCCAGCAGAGGCTACAAGGATGACTGGGGGACTGGAACACCAGCCTCATGAGGAGAGGCTGAGAGACCTGGGGCTTTTTAGCCTGGAGAAGAGAAGGCTTAGGGGGGATCTAATTAATGTGTATAATTATCTGAGGACTGGGGGTCAAGAAGAAAGGGGCAACCTGTTTTCATTTATAGAATCATAGAATCCCTCAGGTTGGAAGGGACCTTCAAGATCATCAAGTCCAACCATTGAGCTTGTAGCCAGCAGTAGGACCAAGGGGCAATGGTCACAAGCTGGAGCACAGGAAGTTCCACCTCAACCTGAGGAAGAACTTCTTTACTGCCAGGGTTCCAGAGCACTGGAACAGGCTCCCCAGGGAGGTTGTGGAGTCTCCTTCCTTGGAGACTTTGAAGACCCATCTGGATGTGTTCCTGTGTGACCTGCCCTAGACTAGATGGTCCTGCTCTGGCAGGGGGGTTGGATTTGATGATCTCCAGAGGTCCCTTCCAACCCTGAACATTCTGTGAAAACCATCTCAACTTCATTTCAGCTCAAGAGACGAAATCACCGATTTGAAAAACGAGCAGAGCCCTAAACCCCAAAACCCAAGACAAAAAAAAAAAAAAATCTTTGAGGAGATGCCACCCAACCAACGTACCTCTGAGCTGCCCCCTCCAAAGATGTCCCGGACGTCCCTCACGGGGTGCTTGCTCTTCCTCCTGCGGGAGCGGGAGTAGGTGTCCAGGCGCCGCTGCACGGCGGCAGCCTGGGTCCTGGTGAGGGTGGAGAGCAGCACCACGTTCTGCTGCTCTGAGGCATGGTCCCCGAGGAGCTCGGACAGACCCGCGGCCTGCAGCCACTCGGCTTCGGCTTCTCCCTCTAGGAGGCAAGGGGTGAGAAGGGGGAGTGAGAGGAGAAGGGGTAAGAGTGATTGGAGGGCTTGCAGCCCTTCAGAGGCGGACAAGCAGAAGCCTGAGGTGTCTTCTTTGTGTGGTGGCAAGGGGACGTCTCTGGAAGGCAGCCACATCTTAGGAAGCTGTGGTTATTCTCAACATCTTAGCCCTGCTCCCAGGTGCCCAGCTGGGTAGCAGGGTGAAACCAGAGGACAAAGAGCAGCTGTGAGTGCCCACATCATCCTTTCTCCTCACCCTAGGTGAGTGGAAAGAGAAGAAAGAATTATGGAGGCACAGATATTGCCAGGACTGCACGTTCCCTCAGAAGCTGGGAGGCACAAGGGTGACTCTGCACAGTATTTAGCACAGGAATGGAACCCAGTGCAGGGTTTCACAGGACATGGGGAGAAAAATCAGATGCACTTGCTTAAATCTGCCTGTACATGGATGGCCTGTGGAAAAGGGAGCTCTGGCAGCAGGCAACACCACACAGCAAACTCAGAATGTGGGGCTGTGCCTCCTCGGAGCCCATCTGATCCTCCAAGAGCTCTGAGAACAGACAGAAGGTCTGTGAGAAGCCACAACACTCTGCAGATTTGCCTTTTGTACTCTTCCCAATTACTGGGTTATTTCTTTTCATTTTTATTTATTTCTTTGCATGCCTACATATCAACTTTTATATATATATATACACACACAGACACCAATTTGGTAGGCTCAAATGTATTGTATTTAATATATTTGCAGAACTACCTGTATGCCCCATCAATATCCTTCACATTAAGTGGGCTGATGTTCATACAATCATTCAACAAAAGCAAAAATGTTATTCCTCCTCTGCATTCACTTTCTGTCTGTGCCTATTCAAAACAGCACTACAATTAAAGCCCATTCCAGCTCCACAATGAAGTGTGAGAAGCCTCCAGACAGAACTGCAGTGTTAGTCAAACAAGCTCAATTCCACTTCACTCTTCAATCCATAGAAAGTTGCACTTCAAACACAGAAGACAATTTTTTTTCCTTATGGGATGTGCCATTTATGCAAGTGAGAAAGTGCCCCGAGCAAGGCAGCTACTTGAAATCCAAGGATAAAAGCAGCAATTTAGCAGGTGGCTTCAACTTTAACACAGTGAACACCACAAAGCCTTTATCTTTTCAATTCTTCTGTACCACATTCATTCACAGCAGGCAGCTCCAGCACAGTTCTACCAAAGGTTATACTGGGAAAGAGAAAAATCACAACTGAACTGACTGACACACCACCATAGAATGGAAGAGATCTTCAGGATCATCAAGTCCAACTGTTAACTCAGCACTGCCAGGTCACCACTAACCCATGTCCCTCACACCACATCTCCATGGCTTTTCAACCCCTCCAGGGATGGGGACTCCACCACTGCCCTGGGCAGCCTTGGCCAGGGTGTTACAGAACAATTTCTTCCCATTCTTCCTTTCCTGTGCCAACTGGTGGCTCCTCAGTTAACACTTGGCCTGAGCAGTTGTGATATTACAGCTGCATCAGTGATAAAAAAACATGCAGCTTTTGTTAAGAAATTAAATAATTTCATTTTTCTGGGGGAAGTTGTGTTCATGCAACTTGCAAAAACACAATGTGACTCCACTAAAGCTCTTTCCATCCTTCAGAGGATGCTCTTTGTGTTCTCAGGCACTGTAACAAACACAAACTTTTTCAAGTATTTCCTTTAACAATTCTTCTAGCTTTCCTACATGGTCTTCAGCTTTGGTTTTTTCCCACATTTGGTTCTACAGAAGCTAACAGGTAAGAGCACCCCCCTGGCACCACTTGCTTGGCTAGAGCTGCCTAAGTGCTCATGGTCCTGGGTCACAACTCCCCTTTACAGCTATTTGTCCTACCCTACATGGTCTTCAGCTTTGGTTTTTTCCCACATTTGGTTCTACAGAAGCTAACAGGTAAGAGCATCCCCCTGGCACCACTTGCTTGGCTACAGCTGCCCAAGTGCTCAAGGTCCTGGTCACAACTCCCCTCTACAGCTACTTGTCCTACATCCCTCCTTTCACAGCAGCACAGGGCACAAAAAAAAACCCTTCTGTTTTATTTTGTCCTTGGGAAATAAAGGAAGTTAAGTGTATTGCTTGCAAATTTTGAAAACACCTAATCCTAGTCATAACAGGAAACTATCCTGATACACAACTCTAAGCAGCAGAGCACCAGCTTCTAACTCCTGTTCAACATTTCTGACCCAGTTATGTTTGCCAGTAGTGCAAAAGGAGACCAAGAAAAAGAGGATTTTTATGGAGAGAAGGGGGAAATGGGAGAGAAACAGGTCAGGGCTGAGAGGTCCACAGAGGCCGAGCTGCAGCTTTAAGCCTGGGGAGCTGCTGAGATTTGTTTTGAGAGCTCCAGACAAGCAGCATTTCAGGGAGGCACAGTCAGGAATAAACCCACAGAACTAAAGAACACCAGCTCCAAAAACTTAACTGAAACACGAGCTAGCCAACAACAGCATTCATAACCAAGTAGTTGCCAAAAAGTTAGAGGACAGCTAGAGCACCTGGCAATTTAACACTAAACATTGAGAACTATAGAGGAAGTTGTGCTTAAAGGCAGAGAGGAATCCCTCTGCAGACACTTCCCAGACATGACTCCATGCTGTAAGGATGCTCACAGGCATTTTAGTGGCACTGCCACCCCGAGTGCATGTGTTATCAGTCTGCTGCACTGCCTGACCTGGGAGAGAGCTGGGCAGGCAGCAGCCAGCAAGACAAGGACAACACCATGATTATTTCATGGACAAGTTGCTTTCTGCACTTTGTGAGGCCAGAAGCATCCTCAGCACCTTTCAGCTGACCTGGTTCTGCAAAGCCTTTGGCTCTGAGGAGCCCCTGTAGCCCCTATGCTGCACTGCCACCTTGTGCTGCTCTGACCAGCAAGGGCAGAGACATAAAAGCCAAGAGGCCCCAACCAAATCCTTCATCCACGCCATGGGAAGTTCCCCCTCGCCTCCAGCACGATGCTCATTTGACTAAGGTCCCTGCAGAAGGCACCAGGAGGCCAGGTGGGCCACACCTCCCTCCCCAGCCTGCCAGGAAGGCTTCCCAAAGCCCAGCATCCTTTCAAGTCTGTCTGGTTTCAATGGCCAATTAAGCAGTCAGCTCTTGCCTGTTGGATTAACACAGCATTAAAAGACACTTCTCCCTGTGTCCCTGCTTACACACAGCAATCAGATTGCCTCCAGCATATCAGACTTTTGGCTATCCCAGACAGTCTTTCATCTCATGGCCTCTTTTCCAGTCTCCTTCCTGGCGCACTCCTCTTCTGAGTCACTTTTGCATCTCTTTCAGTTCTAAAAAGTAAACTTCCCTCCTCATGTAATAAAAAGCAAACTTTCATCCTCATCCACACGTACAGATGCTAACAACAGACCTTCACATTCACCATGTCTTGCTCACTAAGGCAGACATGGATGATGATCTTCCTGCTCTGCTCCCCAGAGGATATCAATCCACCTTTCCCATGCACAGCAGCACACTGAGGCTTCCACTCAAACATTTCTCCATTACACACATGGATCCTTCCCCATATCAGGCCAGCACAACAGCTGGAGGCTGTACAGGCTGCAAACCCAACTGTTCAAGAGGATGCACAGCCAACGAAATCACAGCCCTCAAAATTGACCTGGGAAACACAGGATCCCATCCTGCAGGATTGCTGGAGGCTTCTCACAGCTCCTCAGCCTTCCAGCAGCCCAAGATGTTGTATCTCCCATGTCCAAAGGCAATCACTTCAGGTTCCAGTTACTCCAAAACACTGCAAAACATCAACGCTACAGAAAGGCCACTAGAAACACCCTGTGCACATGAATCAATCCTCAAAAGAGAAAAAAGAATAAATGTAAGAACACCTTTGGTGGGTGGACTCAAGTAATTTTCGATGCTCATCATGGTTTCTTGAACAGTGAATCAGAGGGAGAAAAGTCTTCCACAAAAGCAAGGTTTTCTGTTCTCCTAAGAGCCACTACGATGAACTCTCAGAACCACACAAGCTTTCCAAAACACCATCCTCTACCACAGCACGTTTACCATCCAGCCCCCTGCATGGGGAGCGAGCCCCCCACACTCCATGGGGGCTGTCTGAAAAAATCTGGAGCCTTGAATGTACTCCTGACCAACCTTGAGAGCCAGTTTTGTTTCAGAAGCTGAAACCAGGCCAGCACTTCTTTTTCTGCTGGACACTGTCCACCACCCAAAGGAAAAAAAATGCATCTCTGATTTAACTAATATTCTAACCATATCCCAAATTGCTTTTAAGTAATTAAGGTGCACAAGCAACTTTTCTCTCCGGATGTTCATCCTCTTCCCCTCACTCCCAACATTTTTGGCCACCTACCCTCTCGTGTTTTGACATCTGCAAGGCTGCATTCCTCTTGCTCGGCTTCAGCGCTCTGTTTAATGTTCTCTACTTCCAGCCAAAAACTGTCCATTGACAAGTTGTCCAAAGACTCTACCCTGGAATTGGTGCCCTCTGACAGCGGGGAAGCCAAAGGACTCTTCGGAGGAAGCTGGCTCATTTTGCAAGGGCAATTTCTGGTACTGAGAGAGGAAGAGATAAGGAGAGAGAGTTTAAGCTACACGCATTCAGATACGGCATGTGCACAACACATCAGTCCTCACTGATTAATGACTCCAGTAAAAGCCAAACAGATTTAAGTGCTGGACTTCCTTTGGTTAGTGTATAGCAATAACAGAAAAGGTTGGGACCAAATCCCCTGGAGAAGAGGACAAACTGCTGTCCAAACATGCAAAAGGACGCAGCATCAACGCAGGTTTTCCTTCCAGCGACCTCTCAGACACCACCCACCACTCCCACACTTCCAGGACTCTCCTGCAAGCTTGCACAGATACTCTCTACCTTCTCCACCTTTCAAGCTTGGTGCACGTGTGCTCTGATGACCTGGCACACACCACGAGCCCCACAACTCCCAGCCACTGCAGGCTGGACCCAGTAGGCTCGTCCTCCACAAGCAAAAACTGGCACAGCTCCCTCTCCTGCATTTCAGTTCATGCAATAAACAACTCAGATGTTTGAGGCCCTCTTTTCCTGCCCAGACCAGATTTTTCAGCTGTGAAGCAGCACAAGTGTCCTGGGAAACCCAAAGGTACAGAATTTTCTTACCACCCTCCTGATTCATTCATGGGTGGCCAGAGTCCCAGACTGGCCTCGTTCAGCTTTCAACCTCTCTGCAGAAAATGGAGAGGTTCTCATAGTACATAAAATAATGCCTCTCCCCAAATGAATTTTAATTTTCTTCAAAGGGTTACAAGGCATTTAAACCCTGCTGTATATCTTTTTCAAAGACTTAAAAAAAAAATTGGGGTAAGTTATGAAGACTTAGATACTTCCATATACTTATGAAAACACCTCAATGGTTCAACTTATGAATACAACATTAAAGAGATCACACTCTGGATGGCTGGAAAAACGCCTGTGAACAGCCACCACCACCAAAGTGGAATGGCTTTTTATTCTCAAAACAAACAAAAAAAAAAAAGCAGATCAAGCCCTGAACCTTAAAAACCATGACAACAAAACAACTCCCAAATGCGATTTACCCTCCCAACTCTGGAAGGACTTAGAAAGTTGCTCATGGCAAACTATCTGGAAAGTTTTAGTTCCATTCATTCCAGAAAGCCATTATTAACAATTCTGGCATTAACCTGCTTCAGTTATAAGCAGGATTTCAAGTAGTAAAAGACTAAGATTGAAGATTTACCAAGCAAGAGGCCTATGCTTAGGACACTCTGCACTTCTATGTGCACACACACACAGGCAGCCCTTCCCTTCTAAAGGTCAGCATGAAAGCAATAACCATCTTTCCAGGAACATCTGGAGCCAGCAACAGCATGGAGAACAAGAATAAGGAGGTTTTTGTTTGTTTGTTTTACAGGAACACAGAAGTGAGAGATGGAAAAGAGCCATCAAACCACCCAGCCCACCCCTGATAAGGGCAGAGGTGATCTGCTTGTTTAGGAACCATCCCCACCTCTCCCACCCCCCTTTTCCTACTCCTGGATATCCAAATAACAGGCTCCAGTTGAGATATCTAATCAATCAGATATTTTTAATGTGTTTTTACTTTCACACCCATCATTCTCAGTTCTGCTCCAGCTACCATCCCAAATAATTTCCCCTTTCCACATTTTACTTATACCTTTACCCATTAGGAGTTAAAAATTTAGATCACATCCCTCACATTAACTCTTCATCTTTAGCACTCCTCTCCATTTGCTCAAATTTACTGACAGCCCTCTTGTGAAGAGATTTAAATAAAGCCACCTTGCCATCATCAGGGAGACTGCTCAATACCTTGCCATGATATGTCCTCAGAATTCTGTCACTCAAAATAAATCATCACTTGCAACAAGGAGGATTTTAGATTATCTTGAGGCACTTTGCTCTTCAGTGCAAGTCTGGTTGCCAGTGTTTCTGGCACTGATATGGCCAAAACAGTCTCCCAACACATGACTAGAGAGGACAAAGAACCATCTTTCAAGCTCTCTTATCTTCTCTACAGAAGGCCCCCAACAAACACCCAACTCCTCCTCTTGGCCTAAGTGACTGCTATGTGATCTAGGTTATATAGAGCAAAGCAGCTCCAAAATGTACCTTCCCTTCATGCTCAGCTTGGTTTAGAGCCAGCTCACCTAACATCCTAAACATTTCCATGGATTCACACCAAAATTGGTGCTTGTATCCAGCTTTGCAGACTCAGCAGAACCTCCCCTAGACCCAAGCAGCAGCTTGTGGCCAGCACACGTGCTCTGCAGTGGGGCAGAGTCACACGTGGGTAGGACAATCCCTTCCCCACCCCTACCAAAGGCCTGCCTGGAAAAACACCATTTTAAGCCAACGTAAATACAGTATTCAGCTCCTTCAAAAGGGTGACTCTTGACTTAGAAGTTCTGCATGACTTACCCAGGTACCAGATCCTGAATGCAAGCTTTAGTCCAGGAGATACTATGACTAAGTGGTGTAATACATGTCTAAGGCATCAGGGCATATTCCTGGGGCACATCTGAGAAGGGTCACAAAACCCTCACAGTCCTTATTTCAAACCATAGCCTTGCCAGCAGCTGGTTTTGGTCTACCAGCAACTTCAGGCCCTATTCAAGACAACACAGCAGTGGTACAAAGATACCATTTTGCCAGACAACAGCTGTACCCTTATCCCACTCCAACTTCTGCTCCTGAACCCCCCCAGTGACTTTGCTTCACAGTTGCTTGCACCAGAAAGCTCCACCACCAGCCACACTATACGCCTACTATAAGCAAGCCATATTTGAGCTACTTGTGCAAAGAGCCCCAAAGCCACCAGAGCTTTTTTCTCAAGAACCTCATGGATTGATGCACTGAACCCCATTTCACCAAGGTGCAGGGTGCTAATGTCACAGCAGCTCCAAATTCCAGAGAAATCCAAATTCCAGCTCTCCAAGTCCTAAGCTAGTGCTGCCACTCCTGTCTCGTGGGGCAACACCAAAGTCAGGCCTTTCAATGTAGAAAATATTTTATTCTCTAGTCTGTTTTTTTTCCTTGAATACACTTCATTGTCCTTTACAAGTCCAACTACCCAGGTAGGAGGTTAATTTTAGATTCAGTGCAGCTCAAAGACTGTTCTTCCTCATTGCATTCCCAAGTCAATCTGTGACGTGGAAACACAGCAACAGTTCAGATGGAAAGTGTAGATTGTTGGCTTAAAATGTTAATGGCTCAGTTGCACCCGGGCAAAGAGGAGCTGGAATTATCAAGCCCACTGCACTGTCAACGTACCAAAAAGCTTAAGTTTCAAAAATGAACCCAACAAAAAGCAAACTGAGCAGAAAGACCTGGTTAAGGGCAGCCAGAAAGGATTGACTCCAGGAAAAGACTGACCATCCTAATGCAATCTTCTCCTCTTATTCAAGAGTAGAACTAGTTTTAATGGGGCTTGAGATACATTCAGCAGACTCACCCAACATCTTCAGTCTAACCATGAGTTCATAGTACTAACAGCAGAGTTAGGAGATATTGGGCTGTCATGGACCTTATATGGGTCATATTATCATTCCTCCTATAAATCCTCTCCACGTAGAGCTCTGGTAGCCCCCAGCAAGACCTGCACGCCTGCAGAGCACCAACTCTGGGCACTGGTGGCTCACCAGTCCTTGGTTAGAACATGCAGTCTCAGAGTAGTTTTTGATCTGCCCCTAGATACTGTCAACACGTGGCAAATCAATGGCAAACACTCCTGCAACTCTTGGCCCTCTTGAATATCAAAATAAAACAAACACTGTTGCTATGCATTTGTTCATTCCAGGCTTGAATCATTCCCATGAGAGACCTTCTCAAAGGATCTGTAGCTGCCTGGACTGCTTCATTGCTTGCTCAATGCCCTTCCCTCATTGAAATGCCTCTCTAGCAGGTGAATAAATAAAGAGGTTTCTTCTCAAGCATTTCAAACAGAACAGGAGGTGACAAGTGCAAGCCAAGAAAATGAAATTCCCTTAATATTGTTTCCAGAAGAAATAAGATGAGAAAAAGGCACCAAGCACAGAAGAATCAAGTTATACAGGGCAGTTCTTCCACACACAAGCACCTAGTTTTTAAAGACATTTCCAAAGATCTGGAGCAAGCACAAAGGCACACACAGAACAGGAACAGATGGCCTTAACCTCAGCTTGAATTAACCTCAGCAGCAAGTTGGGAGCAGCACACCAAGTCACAGCATCACAGTACTTCAGAGCACTAGGCATGAGACACAAGCTCTTTTGAAAGAAGAAAAAAAAGGCAAGAAATTATTCTATCAACTGGTTGCAGTATTTTGACAGATAAAGGCACTAAGAGAACAAATATCCATCAGCATCATAACACACACACATCCTACAAGCTTTCAGTTGGCTTCAAGGTCAAAGCCAATCAATGGGTACAAAAGCAAAAGATTAAAAGAAACCAAAAACAAAAGTCCATGCAGGCAAAAGTCCCTCTTCAGGCTGTTTCAAATTTCCCACCCTAAGGAAGCAGTTTAAAGCCAAATGAAGCATTTTGAACCCAAATGAAGAACTGGGTAGTTAATTCTGAAGAGGAAGTTGCCAAAAGATCAGCCCACCACAGTTCATAACATGAGAGGTCATCTTGAGGAAAAACATGTACTGGGGTAAAGGCATCCAGCAACAACAAGCTGGGGTACTTAAAAGACTGGAGAAAATCCTGATGCAGTAGGTCATATCTATAGCTATAAAATATATCTATATTTGCTTCCTGGCAGTATTGATAGTTTAAACCTGTCTTTCAAAGACATCAGCATTCATGAGAACAGCTCCACGTATGCAAGAAGTCAATCTATGTATCAAATCTTAGATGAAATCTGCACAATCAGCTTTTTCTTTCAGACAGAACTACACAAGACTGTTCCCAACACAGGAGATGCCTTGTGAACACAAACTCCACAGCTTTCCTACCAAAGGTTTGAACCAAAACAAAGCTCTACAGCAAAGCTTTAAAGCCTGGCTTTGCTTCCTTTACAGCCCCCCAGAT